ATACCCTACCGCGAGACAACCGCTGAATTCCCTCGGCGACGAGTTTCAAATAGAAATTCTTTCCCGTTTGTCGAGTGGCGCGAAAATACGAGGCGAGGCGAGAATCGTTTTTCGTGGAACGCGATAAACCTGGATCTAGGGTCGTCCTTGGACGATGTAGATGCCTCGTTCGAAGGTCCGGTCGTAACCGTCGACAGTTTCGTCGCGGAAGTTGACGCGATTGTCGGCGATTTTTCCACGCGACGAATCGAAATACCGACATCGGCGCGGTGTAATCGAATTTTCGCAGAAACCTCGCCGTCAGGAGTCGATTTCCCGATCATAAATCTGACGGCTGAAAATTGCTTCGCAACGCTCCGATGCCGAGAGAGAGAACGATTTGTCCTATTCAGTGATCCCCCGACGAATAATCCAGGAATAAATTCTCATCCGATCGTTTCTTTACCCTCTTTTCGCCTCGATATTTTCTCCCTTTTCCGCGTAACGCAGCCATCGAAAGAGAAATCTCAGTTAACGCCCGAGACCCATGGAAATGCTGCTTAAATGGTGTTTCCACGCACTTTCCCCATCCTGAGGCGCCGCTGTATCAGACCGAGGGTGCCGAATAAACGGCTACATAAAGTTCAGGATTGCCGTGCAACCACCCTAGCACCATACGGAGGGTGGTCAGCTCTTTCGGCCACACATATGTGCACTTGCTCGGGCACGACCCTCTTTCATCTACTTCGTATCGAATACCTCTACCGCTTCTTTAAAAGGAGCAACGAGAAACTTTTCGCCCAGCCGTTTTCCCGTTAAGCGAATCCTCTCGCGAACCAAACCGATCAAACCTACTTTTTGTTCGTTTCCTGATCTCGTTACGTACCGAGGTTCGACGAATAATAACCTCGTCTTGCTACTGCGTTAATGAAAATTCAAAATGTTTCGTACAAAGTACACGATATATTGGGGAAAAGTTTGCTCGAGCGTGCAAATACTCGAAGCACGTTCTATCGAGAGAGTCTTTGTCTCAGCAGCCTGAACGTGATTCGCGATGGTCGATTTCGCAAGAAACGATTCCGCAAAAAACGATTTCGCATTGACGATAGACGCGCAAGCTGTTGGATCGTATTTCCGCCGGCGCAACTTGCCCTCCAGTTAATTTAACTTTCGCGATTCCGTGGACCGTGTTACTCGTGGCCCGCGGTAACGCGCGTTCCTATGGAACAGCCGGTAGAATGTGATGCACGTAGCACGAGCAAGAGAGTAGTACGTGCGCCCGGTTGCAGGCAGCCCCAAGGGCGAGGGACGATGGTCGGGAACGAGAGCTCGATATATATTAAGATCCACAAACCCTCCGCTAGACTGAAAGTTCGTCCATCCCCCACGCAACCCCCTAAGTCTTCTCTCTAACTCCTTTTGCCCCGCTCGACCGGAGCTACACCATCGGAATTGCGATTATGGTGGCAATATTACGGTTCACCGAGGGAGAGAGGAACCGTTTCGTTCCTAGAGCTACGTAGCCACGGAATAAGGAAGGAACGAACGGACAGACGGAGAAGGCTTCCTCTGCCCCTTTTCGTCTATCCGCAAGATTCCCTCTTCCGACAACTCGTACTACGAGCCGCTCGCTCGCAGAGCTTATTGGCTTTATTTCGAAACCGGCAGTTCATATCTATTTACTGGCGCAGGGTGATCCACGAGGAAATAGAAAACGGCGAGTGACTCGACGAGACCGGTCTGTGCCTGCTGTGGCCGGGGATGCTCGTGTTCCCCGACAAATCGATAGCTTAATGCCTCGTTCGTGTAACGTGCGTTACACTTTATTGGCGACGACTCAGTTCCATCGTTTTCCGTGAACAAGAACGCGGAATTCCTCCGACGAACGAATAACAACGCGGAACGAAACTTTTTCCCCTATTTTATTCGTCGAGTGAGATTCTTTCTCGGGTCAACGTCCTTTCTGGCGTTCTCCTAATTTAATTCTCTTCTATCGATCTCGTTGTATTTTATTTATCGTTACAGCAGCGATGCTCGAGCCTCGGCGTTACGTCACGCGAACTATGTAAATCAAAGGTTATCGACTCTCCGACTCTATTCGTGCGAAAAATTCCTCGTTTCGTACAGAGTAGCTGATTTTCCCGTCGATAGGTATATCGTCTGTTGATCGGAGGAATTAGCGATTGGAAACCGACGAGATCGATCGGACGTAGAGCGCGTTGACGGTCGTCGAGAACGACCGCGTCGACGTAATTTCCGAGCGAATTAACGATCATCGATCGACGCGGCGAGGTGGAGCGTGGCGATAGTATTTTTCCGCTGGACGTAGACCGAGCGTTCGGGGTAGAGCAAATATCCTGGCCATTCATACACACGCAGCAATTAAAACCGACGAGTGAAATATATTTGGCTGCCGTGTTCCCACCGAATTCGCATTTGCCTCTCGATCAACTCGCATCGCGATCATTCTCCAACGGATCTTTCTTTATCTCGACCGATTTCGGAAACAACGTCTCGGATACAAAGTGGATTCGTGTCGCGACGGTCGATCGATTTCGGCTAATTGAGAGGCGCTGCTCGCGATCCGACAAATTCGCCGTTTCATCCGATAAAGAGTGGCACGCTAACGTATCCGAGCCGCGAAACGCGTTAAGTGGCGTAATTAATTTCGCATGGAATCTCGCCATCGTACCGCACGGAAAGACGGATTAAAGAAGTAGCTTGGACGTTGATATACCATTCGGCTTCTATCTCGATTTCTCCTTTGCCGGTCGTTCTCTTTTTCTCTGATTGCCGTGGCGATGAATAATTTCGGGGAAGAATCGCGCCGTCGGGAAATCCGGCTCGCCGAAAAATCGTAGCGGCGCGGCGCGGCGCGTTAAAAAGAGGACGTCTCGGCGGGACTCAATTAAATTCCGCGGGCGTTAACGACGCGCGTGCACTCTGTCTTTTTTCGGTTCGCGGCAGCCTCTGCAAGCGGCTGCGACGAAAGAACGGAATGAAAGCGGTTGCTGAGAGACGAAGAGGGATGAAGAAGGAGAAATAGAGGGAGAACGAAATGGGCGGGTGTAGAATTTACCGTGCTAACGCAATTTCCCAGGCGATAAAGCCGCCGCGTAGGCGTCGAAATAACATCTCTACGACTTTTCTTCGTTCCTCTAATAGTCTTCGCGCCGTGCGATATTACCTGACGCCTTTTGCCTCTTATGATTCCTTCGCCGAGAATATAACATTGGGTCGAGCGAATGCCGGTCAAAGTCGTTTCGTTTCTTAGGTAATTGCGATCGGCGCGTGATCCTTTAAACGCGTTCGTTAACGACCACGCAACGAGCCGCCGTGACTTTTCTGATCGCCGCACGCTCACCAGAGATGAAAGAATCGGTCCTTCGTCTCGTCCATCTACCGAAACGAAATCGTTTTTTTTCCCCTTGGTCCCTGCTCGTCATCTTTCCCCGTAATAATCTCTTTGTACTACTGAGTAACCGTACGGCTGAATTTATTGCGGCCTCCCTGCCGGAAACACGTCCGCAAGAAAATCTTCTGGGTAAGAAGCCTGATCTTCTCGATCTACCGTTTTTTGTCCGTTCTTACCTACGTAGCCTTTCCTCCGCGCGAGAGACCGAGTATCGAAAGAGAAGGAGAGAATAGTCGAGGATGAAGAGAATCGTCTGTCGACGAGGAGAAGGACGACTACGAATACGGCG